GGACAGTGCGATTGAGTGCGCCCTCAGCAAGTCTGACGATGACACCAAGCTGTGTGGTTCGGTTGATATGCGGGAGGGAAGCAATGCCATCCAGAGAGACCCTGACACGCTTGTGAGGTGGGCTGATGCCAACCTCATGAAGTTTAACCATGCCAAGTGCAAGGTCCTACACCTGGGTTGAGGCAATCCCAAGCACAGCTACAGGCTGGGCAGAGAAGAGATTCAGAGCAGCCCTGCAGAGAAGGACTTGGGGGTGCTGGTCGATGAGGAAATGAACATGAGCCAGCAGTGTGCCTGTAGTCTAGAAAGCCAACCGTATCCTGGGGTGCATCAAAAGGAGTGTGACCAGCAGGTCGAAGGAGATGATCCTGCCCCTTTATTCTGCTCTCGTGAGACCTCATTTGGAGTATTGTGTACAGTTCTGGTGTCCTCAACATAAAAAGGACATGGAACTGTTGGAACAAGTCCAGAGGAGGGCCACGAGGATGATCAGGGGACTGGAGCACCTCCCATATGAAGATCGGCTGAGAAAGTTGGGGCTGTTCAGCCTGGAGAAGAGAAGGCTGCCTGGAGACCTCATAGCAGCCTTCCAGTATCTGAAGGGGGCATATAGGGATGCTGGGGAGGGCCTTTTCATTAATGACTGTAGTGATAGGACAAGGGGTAATGGGTTAAAACTTAATCAGGGGAAGTTTAGACTGGATATAAGGAGGAAATTCTTTCTTGTTAGGGTGGTGAGGCACTGGAATGGGTTTCCCAGGGAGGTTGTGAATGCTCCATCCCTGGCAGTGTTCAAGGCCAGGTTGGAAGAGGCCTTGGGTGATATGGTTTAGAGCGAGGTGTCCCTGCCCGTGGCAGGGGGGTTGGAACTTGATGATCTTAAGGTCCTTTCCAACCCTAACTATTCTATGATTCCATGATTAAGGTATTTCTTGGTCAACTGAAGGCAGCAGAGAGCTCCCTGGCTGCCCCCACTTCTCCAGCACCTCTGTTCTCAGGGTGGCTGTGTGCCGTGCAAGCACTTGTGTTAAGACTTGTCTTGTTCTCTCTTGCTGATGAGGATAACTCCCAGTTTTTTCTATTTTACAGTTGAGCATTATGGCATAGAATTAAGACATCATCTGTCACTCTCTAATAAGGTGAGATTCAGCCATAAACTGAACCCAGAGGAAATATTCAGCTTGCTGAAATTAGTGGGAGTTTTGCTGCTGCTTTCAGTTAAGGTCAGGACTGAGCTTGCAAGAACGTTGGGTTTGCTGCTGTGCTGTCTCAGAGGGGGCCCCAACCCCAACATTGAAGACTGCAGCTCTTCAATGCTTCCTGCAACATCTCTCTTTTTCTTGGACAAGGTCTCTTCTACTGTGATAGCTCATATCAGGTAATGATAGTTTTCTTGTTTACTGGTGTCAGGAAATGTCATCCCTGATCTTCCGTTGTAAGCTCCAGCTACTGTTATATGGCTTAATGGATCATTGCCTTGCATCATAAATTGTAATTGGGGAAGATGAAGCAAACATGAGCAGAATTTGTCAGAGTAACCAGGGTCACAGAGAAATTACAGATTCTCAAAGGACAGCTTTTTTTGGTAATGCAGCTTCTCAAATCCCATCTGTTTGTTCTTAATGTCAGAAAATAGGCATTATCCAAAATGAATATAATAAGCCTTTCCACTGAGGCAAAGTTCCATACAACATCACAGCATATGTAATTTTTCACTAGCACAAGACTATGTGAAATGTATGTGGAATACACTTACCACAGTGAGACAGCTGAGGCACAATTCAATGGCTGAACAATTATCAGCTGCTGTTGTGGGCTTCTGTATAGTTATTGCAATTGTAACACAGAATATGGAATTTGACCAAATATAGGAAAGAACTGAATATAAATATAATGTTTATTATAATGTTTATCCTTATGCAACCTCAGAAAGGGTTAATCCAGAATTTGCCTCAATGGTTTGAAGATAAGGCAGATATATAGGTTTAAATATCAACCACCACATTTTTGCCAATAGCCACTGCTTAAGCATAGCAATTAATATTTCCTGTTACAGCTATGAGAGAAATCATCTTGTATTAATTTTTTGAGTACTGATGTCTTTATTTCAGCTCCTATGTGAGAGGATACACCTCTTAATTTAAGAATTAGGTAAAAATACGACTGTGACTATTAAAGGCAAAGATTCTAGATGCAGGGAGCACAGTAGAAGATGTGAGAAAACCAGAGTTTTTGCTAGTGCTACTTTTCCAGAGACTGAAACCAGAGACAATCTTGGCCAGTCTTTTCCCACTGGGTTCCTGCAGAACTCACTGCTGTCCAATGCACTCCTGGGCTTGTATTCCAGGGATACAGCTCCAGCAGCAGCATAATTTGTGGCATTCGTGGTAGCTCCAGCTCAATGTATTCAGTTTATGTGTGTAGTGGAAGAGGTACTTGACCTTTCTCCTCATCCAGAGGTCCCTCAACAGTAGGCTTCGGCTAGTTGTTTCAGAAAATGGAGGGCTCAGCTACATCAGTCATAGAACTGACCCAGCCCTGCTGGTGGAACATTATGAGATAAGCATGCTGTAAATAACATTATCTGTAAGTTAAAACTTAACTAGATTTAATACACCCTTGACTAAGAGATGTCGATTTTACTATAAGGGGTCTTTCAACCTGCTCCTGAGGCTATGTGTGGTCATGTGTGGGTGAGTGTGAAGTATTCTGACATGGAGGATTTTGAGTAAGATGATTTTCCTTCTGTGGTTACTGGGAGTGAGATGCCACTAAAAGGTGGCTAATGATCTCTGGATCTTTGGTTGTCCTTTTAGCTAGCTGAGGAAAGAAACAGTCCTTTCTATGAAAGAAACAGGCTTTCTGTCTTCTTAGGTGTACATCTAATAACAGGCTTGGTGTGTCATGCACTTAAGGTGCCTGTCTTCCTCTGTTGACTGTGAAAATGTGATTATGCCATATGCAAATATGCTAGGCAGTGATTATGCCATATGCAAATATTTACGCTACAGGTGTCTAAAATTGGATTAAATTAATCTTACCTCTTCTATTTTTAAAAATTAATATATATTTAAAATATTTAAATGTATATACTGCAATTTGTCTTCCAGATCAGTGCCATTTATGTCACTGCTTTTCAGGAACAACTGGCTTCATCCACAAAGGGTGAAAGCTGTTGTGGGGTTTGGCACCTAGGTAACTCAGGGTTAAAGACTGTCTCCCAAAATTGTGCTGAACACCAAATAAGGTGTCTGTGCTCCTTCCGACTGCATACTCTGTGAACCAGAAACCATTGAGCGTTATTCACATGTGAGTGGAAGAGATGAGCCTGTCCATATGAGACACAGCTAGCCACTGGCAAAATCCTCTATTTTAAGTTGGGGTTTTCAGCTCAACACTTATGAGCTTAAAGGAAGACAAGACACTACTGTAGAGAGGTATGCTAACGTTCCCATTTTGTTTCAGAAAGCTGTTACTTTCCTAATTTGCAGGGTAGCAGAACCTTTCACCCAGCATCATCCTTATGTCATGAACTCATTCACCTAGAGCACACAAGATAATTGAAGCATCAGGACCTGAGGGCATAAGGCACAGACTGGCTTCCCATGGGGCTCCCCCACCCTGCCCATGTACCAGGACACCATTTCAGCCCACTGAGGCCATCAGAACCTTCCCTGCCTGGCCATGGACCTCATTGATTGGGATCATTGCCCCTGGGGCAGTGTCCCAGCCTGGCCTTGGCTTGTCTCCATCCACAGGCCCTGGGGCTGCCCAACTCCCTGGATGTATGGGGGGACACATTTGGACTGCCCATTGCTGCTTTCAACCCTGGGAGTCGCCAGGGAGCCCTGGCCTTTGTGTCACCGTGCCAGGAAGGCAAAGAAGTGCACATTTAGCTGGAAATCATAAACGTGTCAGCAAGTACAAACTTCTGATGATATTGTCTTTACTGGGTGTAAACCTCTGTCTCAGGGGACTTTCTGTCTGCTGCTTTCTGCTGCTGAGATCTTGCTGAAATAAAGACAGTCTTCTTCTTTTATTAGATCCTTGTGCAGGCATAGTGTAAATACAGCAGATGATAGCAGAGCCTTAGTTTTTCTGTGGTGATATCTTACTTTTTAGACAACTCAACAAAAGTTATCACACACAAGTGATCGCACATAACTGGGCACCAAATGGGAATTTCAAGTCTCTAATGAAGAAGAAAGTCTTGTGAAATGCTGTCTCAGAGACTTCATGTCCCACTCAATGTGACCTGTGTGTTAAAACCCCCTCAGGGGGAAAATAAAGCTGATTATCTGATGTTTTGTCAGCACAATGGCTGTTTACTTGCCTCTCGTTATGGCTTTCTGACACAGCACTGCAAAGCACCCAATCCATAGCTTCAGATTACCAGTTTGGAGAGAGCTGCAATTAACAGCAGAGCAGAAATTAGATCTGTTCCTGAAAATTAGCTTGGCTAGAAACAATATAAATTTACAGCAGAATAAAACATAAATGGTTGAAAACATTTGGGGATTTTTTCCCTCTGGTTTCCACAATTAATGTTTATGATTCACATGCAATCAGGGTAATACAGGCTATATACACAGGTGGTATAGGTACCATTGCCACAGTGTCTCTCCAGAAATGAGTCACTGAATGCTCTGCCAGTCGTTCTTCAGGGGGTTTGCAAGACTGTGGAAGACCCTGACTGCCTTTGAACCCATTGATGCTCCCCCTAGGAGTGTGATGATTGCTGCCTGTCGCCTCCTGCTGCCTTTCAGGAGGGCTCAAGGAATAATTGTAACTTTGGACAAGGCAGATTGGATCCCAATGCATCTGTACAACTGCAGCTGTCAGTGACTGCAGGTAACAACATGTGGGGAAGTTTGGTGTTTACATTCGCTGAGATTATTGCTCAAAATAGTCTGAAGCCCTGAAACAACTGTCCTAGATAACCCATTGAAAGTGAACCATGCTTACAGCCAGTGTGATACGATTTCAAAAATGAATGCTAGATTGCATTACAGAAAAATGGTGGATTTGGTTCACCAGGGCCATGCACCAGGGAAAAACATCCATCCAGGAAAAGATGTATTCAAGTGCTGCAACAGGAGCAGGGACAAAGAACTATGACACATACCAGTCAGGCTGCCAGATTCAAAAAGCATGCTTTAGGTTTCAGGAGGCAGAGGTGAACTAGCATTTTATGAAGTCTGGGGACTAAGGATTTTTTCTGCTTAAGTTTAAATTTTTCTCTTTTGATAATGACAGTTCTGAAGACATTTGTGTCCTTGTCAAAGTTGCAGAATGGAAGAGGATGAAATCACATTGCCAGTATTTGGTTGAAAATGTCTAGACTTCTGTGTCCTGGTCTCTGTAATCATGACATCGACATGAATTGGGCTATTGAAAAGATTCAGTCTTCAGTGAGGAATGAAAGGAAACAGCCCTGCAGGTATGACACCTGCTAATGCTTGAAAATGCATTAGGTATAATTTTCAAATGCCTTGATTTAGGTCTCACATTTTGAAAGCTAAATTTGGTGGTCAGTCCTTGGACTCACAAAAGTTTCATGACTGCTCGTTACAAAGCTTTGTACTGCATATAATGACTTGCTGATTTCATTTGCAGAGGTTTGAAAGGTAGCGATGAGTCTGGCAAGTAAGTACTTACCTTATGAAACCATTCTGGGAGCTGCTGTTATTAACAGTGGTCACCCAAGAAATAAAACTAATCTAACAAATTAACAGCACTTTAGATTTCAGCCTTAGCAATGGGCTAATTTCCTGGAATTGTATCAGAACTGTTGCTTTATAAAGAAATTGTGCTTAAGATTTTATTGTTCCTGTAAATTCAGGATATATTGTGAGTGCAGTGTTTTTAATCCTGACTCCCTAGAAGTATCAGAGTGGGGTCACTGTAACACTGCTGGCATTTCTGTCCCCCATTGAGCAGTCTGTTTGTGTCTGTGTTGCTTAAATTGAAGAGGCCCAGGACATAGTCTTCAGGAAAGGGCACATGATTATCCGCTGCTGAATTATTGAACATGGTTTCAGTCAGTGCTAGCTAGTCCTCCCCCAGGAGAGCATTTGGGCCCAATTCCACCACTCACATAGGGCAAGGACTGTCTCCAGGAAGACAATCATTTTTGGTCACAGGGGTTTAGCTGGCTGCATGTGAATTGATCCATACCCCTTTGCCTCTGGGACTGTAAAATGCAGACTGTCCAATTTTATTTACTGTTATAAGCACTGATTATTTTCTCTTTTCCAGGAATTCATAGACTTGATTTACTTTACTCTCATTCCTGTATCTGTTTTGAAACTCTCTAGCATGCACAAGGGACACAACATTCCAAAGGGTCAATGTTCAGGGCCAGAAAAATGTTCCTCTTTTGAAGTGTAAATGAAACTTGGCAGTAGGGTTTCAATCATTTGGGATGTCTAAATGGGGATGGGAAATTTAAGAAAGAGATATTTTTTTTGGTATTGGCTGAAACCTCTATCAAAACTCTGTATGTTCCTTCAAGATCTCTTAAGTTAAACCTGAATAGTACAACACCTGGTGGTACCAAATGATTCATGATAATCATCTTATATCCTTGGTTTAATTTGCAAGGCAATAATTTCTTACTAAGTGCATCTGAAATCCCAGGTTACTTTGTTACCATCTGTGCATACATGGTTGTTTTGTCTGTGAAATTCCTCTGTGAGTTACCGTGTCAACATTCGCTGTACAACACTTCTATTTACTGTGTAGCAGGGTGAGAACAGCAGTGGGTTTTCCTGTAAATGCGAAATTTTTCTTGGCTGACACAATGTGCAGAGCCCTGCCAAGAAAAAGCTGGGTACTGGCTGCGTTCCTTACTGGTTCGATGGACGTGCTTGGGGGTGTGTGCAGGTATGTGTCTGTGAACATGTGCAAAACCACACATTTACTGGAGGGGCTGAAAATGCTTTAGCACTGGCCAACACCACCACATGCTCCCATCACTGATACTGCCATGTATGTTGCAGTCCCCATTTAGGCTGCAGCTAGCTCACATATATGACCATGCACAACAGAGATTTCACCAAAGGCTTAATCATTTGTGCCCCCAGAGGTACAAGCTCAGTGTCAGGACTTCTGCTTACATTTTAACCTTATGATACATGTCTTCTCTTTTTAAAATCAACAAGACTTGCAAATACTGAGAAGCCTCTTGAGTGCAGCAGCAAAACAACACAAGCAGTCAGTCCTTGCTGGATGCATTTGTGGCTGGCACTGCTGGACCTGGCTCTGTATTTGTACCACTTCTCAGACTGAAAGCTGGCTGGAGTTTCAAAGCACAGCCCTGTGCTCAAGTTAATCCATTCTGATCTCCCCACAGGCTTATTAGCTTAGCCACTGTATTATCCTAGTGCAGCTACATGGCCCCCAGATCAGGATATCAGTGTCCAGACAGTTTAAAGAGTAGATAAGCATAGCCTAAAGGCCATCTTTGGGACTTATGGGGATTTGGCCTTCTTGGAAAGGCATCTTATTGGTGAACTTCCATAAAATCAGATAAAGGAAAAGCAGAGAGGAGAAAAAAGAATAAAACTCCAATTATTCTGTAGTTGCCCCCCAGATTTTCCCACTGACTGTCACAACACCTATTCCTCTTACTTCAGCCAGTGTTCCAAGGATTAGAAGCAATCTAATTGCATCTTGGTGTCAGCTTACTGAAGAAAGACAATATTGAGTAATTGTGTACTGAGAACAGTGGTATGCACTGAAACAAAGATGGCAATCCTGTTTTCAGGGAGATAGCAGCATGTACATGTCCCAGGAGATGATCCAAATAAATCCATTCTCACTCAAGAAATGCCAGCCTTGGTGAGGTTTTTTCTATTTGGAGAAGATTTGCAGTAGCCTTTGCTGTTACATGTGCCTGGACTAATTGCACAAGTAGAATACTATAACCTGCTTTATGGATGTGACAGTATTTACACAGCTCTCTTCGTCATAAGATTTGATCGCCTGAGCAACAGTTCTCAAAATACAAGAACATTGCTTGAGTTTGTCAATTGCCTTTAGATCAATAAGGTCTGGTAGTACAAGCAAGTTCAGTTAGCATTATACATTGTGTAATTATTCTGGAAGTGAATACTACAATCACTGTAGAAGTCTCAGCATAATTGCTGTCAGCAGTAAAATATAAAATCATGACTTTGCTTTACCAGAAGCTAATGATCTAGTCTGGCTAAAAACACTCAAAAGCACCTGTTTGTCACTGCTTCTCTCTTGCTTAATTTTATTTTGTATATTCACATTCAGTACAGTTCTTAGAGGCTTGACTATATTAAAAATACATTTGGAGAAGTTCTAAGGTGAGTTGATGGTTTTCCATTGCCTGCTGTGGGGCAGGACTCTGACCCCTGACTAAGAAATGAAAACAGCTGCCTAAGGAATGTGTGCAAGAGAGCTGAGCCCTGAGCAGTTAACACGTCTCCTGAATTTGGCCAGAAGATCCAGGGCGCCAGCACCATCCTTCCTGCTGGTCAGGGACAACTCTTTGGTGTTTTGCAAGAGAGAGAGAAATAAATTAATAGCAGTTTATATTCCTGTGTCTCCTGTCATATGCAGTAATGACTCTGCTGTTATTTACAGTGGTGGCTCATCACAGTGAGCAATATGGCAGAGCCACAGTGTGGTGGAGCTGGTCTGTAGTAATGTTATGAATATGGTGATGCAAAAGCTTTGGTATGATGACAAGACCAGGGCAGGAGGTTACTGATTAAGCTTCTACTGGGGCTGCAGACAGAATGCACAAAGCAGCAATGGTACAGCTCCCAGCTTGAGAGGAACTGGCAAAACCATCAGGTATAAAGATCTGTTCCCAGAGAAACTGCAAACGTGTTTTGTCAGGTTATGAACTAGCAAGTGAGGGAAAACAGCAAATTAAGCACAACAAGAACAGGTATGGGATAGAAGTGCACTTGGCCAAAGCTGCCTAAAGAAGACAGTAACAGAACAAGAAATAAAAATGACTTCTCAGCAGCAGGGAATAATATACCTTGGAAATATTATTTACATCAGCTTTTAAATGTTTTCACATTACATTTTTCTTGAGAACATTTTTGGTTTAGTTAGTGATGTTTTGCTTTAGGCAGGGCATTAAACTGCTGATCCATTTACATCTGGGAGGCTCCTGCCCAGGCTGCAGATCAGGAAGTGCTTCAGGAACCACAGCTTCCTACTCCGTGTGTCTCTACCCTAGAAAGGTGGAGGATACCTATGGGTGCCAGGGTGTGAGCTCAAAGAGCCAAGAGAAGCACACCAGGGGTAATCTCCAGTAAAAGAGATTTGCAAATGGTAGCTCATATGATTAGTCCTACTGTTGTTATTTTAACAACAGCAGCTCGGTGGACATTACTTGTCCTCCTTCAGTTAGTCTGCAGATACATATTTTCCAAGCAAGCTCCCACCTGGGAGCAAATTCGGAAGTTTCTCCCATGTATAGAATCACAGAATCCCAGAATCCCAAGGGTTGGAAGGGACCTCAAGAGATCATCTGGTCCAACCCCCCTGCAAGAGCAGGGTAACCTAGAGTACATCACACAGGAACTTGTCCAGGCGGGCCTTGAATATCTCCAATGTGGGAGACTCCACAACCCCCCTGGGCAACCTGTTCCAGTGCTCTGTCACTCTCACAGTAAAGAAGTTCTTCCTGATGTTAACGTGGAACCTTCTATGCTCCAGTTTACACCCACTGCCCCTTGTCCTATCCCTGGATATCACTGAAAAAAGCCTAGCTCCACCCTCCTGACTCCCACCCATTACATATTTGTAAACACTGATGAGGTCACCCCTCAGTCTCCTCCAAGATAAAGAGACCCAGCTCCCTCAGCCTCTCCTTATAAGGGAGGTGTTCCACTCCCTTAATCATCTTTGTGGCTCTGCGCTGGACTCTTTCAAGCAATTCCCTGTCCTTCTTGAACTGAGGGGCCCAGAAGTGGATGCAATATTCCAGATGTGGCCTAACCAAGGCAGAATAGAGGGGGAGGAGAACCTCTCTTGACCTACTAACCACACCCTTTCTAATGCACCCCAGGATGCCATTTGCCCTCTTGGCCACAAGGGCACATTGCTGGCTCGTGGTCATCCTCCTATCCACCAGGACCCCCAGGTCCCTTTCCCCTTCGCTACTTTCCAGCAGGTCAGTCCCCAGCCTGTACTGGTACATGGGGTTGTTCTTCCCCAGATGCAAGACTCTACACTTGCGCTTGTTGAATTTCATCAAATTTCTCCACGCCCAACTCTCCAGCCTGTCCAGGTCTCGCTGAATGGCAGCACAGGCTTCTGGTGTGTCAGCCATTCCTCCCAGTTTAGTGTCATCAGCAAACTTGCTGAGAGTACACTCGGTTCCCTCGTCCAGGTTGTTGATGAAAATATTAAACAGCACTGGTCCCAGCACCGACCCCTGAGGAACTCCACTAGTCACAGACAAAGTGTCTATCACTCTTAAGGGTTAATTTGGTGCTCTCAGATTATTCCATGTTTTACAATTAACCTGGGGCTGCTACTGCTTTGTGCCAGTCCCACTCTATCCTTCCCACTTTTTCTTCTGTATTATCTCCTTTTTCCTTTTCCAGCTTGGCATTTTTCAGAAGGGAGCCTGCTACAGTCCCATTTAAGAAGAAGTCTATCTACCTATGTTGTTCCTTTAATAGTATTTGAACCTGTTGTCTACCTTTTAACATGTAAGTGAAGGTTTGACATCCCAAAGGTATTATTTATTATCTTTCATGAATATAGGAAGCTGAGTAGAGGAAAATCTATCCTGTGTCTTCCCCAAGGGAAAGGATGCAATGAAGACTTGTTCTTATTAATTAGAGACTCTATAAAAGAAAGAAATTCGTAGAAAAATGGGTCTTGATAGTGCTGCTGCTCAGGCGACCACATTTTTGCAAGGGAGAAACAAAGGCTGAATGTCACTCCATATGCTGGTTCTTTTTACCAAATAGTGTTAACTAGGAGGAATCTCTTCAGCATTACTGTCCTTGTACCTGCTTCTCTACATCAGATAAGCTTTTTCACTGAGCAGTTTATGATGGTATCTTCCAAGTCACTAGCCAAAGATGATCCCATGGGTCTGGATAACAAGTGTACCTTACCTAGATCTGAGTGAAATTTAATCTGCCACAGCATCACAGCAGCACTTAATTTCCCAGTTGGTTTCTGTCTCTCAACAGGTACTTACAGGGTAATGTTTTTTCTAGTTGAATGTAATTTGCAAAAACTTATCAGCTTGCTGTGAGTTTTCTCCATTCTTTTTCCTTCTCTCTTCACACAATATATGAAACTGTTGGTCCCTCCACACATCCCTGGGAGTACCTCTTCTCACTGATAACAGTGGCAGATACTGACTGAACATTAAGATGCTCCCTCCTTGGACATATACGCATTGCAGGTCTCATTGGATCTGGTATCACTGACTGAGAAATGTGAAAGCATGGCTCTCAGGAGCTCAAAAAAGCCCAGTTCCCATAAAAGCCTGTTGTCTGCCACAGAAGTATTCTGCAGCATTCTGTTTCTGCTCTTCACAGTTGAGCTGCCCAAATCTCAGGTCATCTAATATCTAATTCCTCCCAGGTATCCTGACACATGGTGATGTGGCTCAACCAAAAGAAGCATGTGGTCACTTCGTTCAGGTAAAACTAAGGGGTTCACCAGTCCCTGCCATGTAATTTTTGCTAAGCTGATTGACTCTATGGAACCACCCCACTTTGTTCTGTTCTTCTTAGTGATAATTCACCTGACTTTGTTTTATCACTAAGAAAAAATGTCCTGCAGTTCTTTTTTGGTTTAATAACAGTATGGTGATGAGGTGGACAACAGTGACAGGGGATGCTTCTATAATGAAAGGGCCAAATTACAGCCAGCAAATGTACACACTATAGAGACGAACAAATGATTGCACAGACTGTCATCCCAGCCACTGGTCCTATATGAACCTGGTTTTCCTTTGTTAAACAGTCATACTGCTTTGAAGAAAACTTCTACCTACTCACCTTACTTCTTCCTACTGCCCAAGCAGCATTAGACAATCAGACAGTTGTTTAAAAAAAGAGAAAAAAAAAAAAAAAGAATCATGTCTGTTCTAAAATGCTGTCAGATATCCTCAGATTTCCAGGAAAGATGGTGGAACTGAAGTGCTTTCTGACCTGGGAAAATATATACTGAAACAGTATATGGCAGAAGTCAGGCAGAGAAAGGACTGCCGTTCCACAGCAGGAAGGGAAGCAGATCCTTGCTGAACACCTGCAGGCAGGCAGTGAGAGGAAAAGGGCCTGTGACCTACAGGGAAGGAGCTGACTGGGCTGAGAAGCAGGAGCGGGAAAAGATCGAGTGAGTTGTGGGGAGTGAAGGTGGTAAGATTTGCATGAAGAACAGTTTGGGAATGAGCTCTGAGGCCTTGGTGCTTGACAAGCCCTGGGGCGATGAGCTGGAACGTTGAAGGACAGGGAAGGTCAAAGAGCAAGCCTTGGGAGGATGGGCCAGGATGTAGTGGCAGGAATCTCAGTTGGAGGCCAGAGAATGTGACGGTTGTGATAGGGTCTGCCGCATTGTGTTTGGACTACAGGAGCCAATGAGATTGAACGTTGTATGTATGTGCAGGTTGGGAAAGTACTGAACAAGGGGATAAAAAGGGCTTGGTGGTAATAAATAAGGATTTGAGTCTCTGCATCAACTTGAGTGCGTGTCATGAAATGTCACAGTAAGTAATTATAAAGGATAAAATATGGATCCCTGTGAAGATTCTGATGGGTCAGATGAACAGAGAATTCAGGGACTGAAGTATTTGAAATGCAGTCTTCGTTA